TGCAAGGATGATCAGCGAAAAGCTACTCGGCTTCAGATGGAGAAAGCTCCCCACCAGCGTACAGCACGGACCTCTCTTCAATGATTGCCACATTTTCCTGTCGCTCTCCAATGCCATCTAAGAAAAGCGTTTGAAGATGAGGATGTTATGGATCGCTATCAGCAGCTTCTTCAAGTCTGAACAAGGGCAGATCTTTGCAGAAGGCATCACGAGCCCGCCCGGAAAGTGTTGAAAGCTGACGTACCTACTGGTGGTTACCTAGCTTCCATCGTTTTTCACTTTCGTTTGTTTTTTCTTCATTCCAAAAAGTCAAGATAAAAAAGTGTTCTGGAAACCGCGACAATTGTTCGTACAACGTATACAGCTTCCCAACGTAACGTGATAAAAAAGTGGTAGTTATAGTTTCGATGAAGTCGAAGTCGAAGGGTGAAGATGGATTTGTTCATTCCACACAGAAGACTGCTTCTAAGGTAATCTTGTGCCTGGACAAAAATATACAGGGTGGCCACAAACGAGACAAAGGACTACTGAAAATTCTTACAGCTATAAAATGACGAATTGGGAAATACCCCTGTATCAATTAAATTTTTATAAACGAAAAGCAAGGTCACTTCCCGAATTGGCCGACTTCAAAAAGGAGCAAAGGATTCGGGCGGGTATCCAACATGGGGGGGGAGAGAAAAGCTCACCAGCGGCGCGGACGCGAGCGCGTGCCGGTGACGTCAAAATGACGTCGCAGCTGCGGCAGATTCGAAGGAAGAGGCGAGCAGTGGCCAGCGCCGCTGCTACTGTCTGGCACTATACCAATTTGTTCATTCAGTTATCCTCCTTACCATCGTAGGAATTGAAATTTTTTGATGTAGAGAAACTTGACGCTTTTATGTGAAACCCTTAGGAGTACACTGTCATAATTGAATAAACTGAGTGTTTTTCGTGTTCGATTCCTACTTACTTCTACTTATCACACAGTGAAGTAAGAGCACGATAGATGCTCGGAGTACTTAATGTATTGAAGTAATGGTGGCAAAGCTGGCCCTTGCTCGCTCCCTCGCCGCCGTTGTGACGTCACCAACACGCGAACGCGTCCGCGCCGCCGGTGAGCTTTTCCATGGAGCCTCCAACAGGAGGCCCGTCGCGCGCAACGAAGGCAGAGTCAGCGGACGAGTTCAGCGCGTACTGTGTGTATGTATTTCGCGTCAAGTTAAATAGAATGTACCATTGTACGTCCTACATCGCACATCACGCGCTGCGACTCGTCCGCTGACTCTGCCTTCTTGCCGCGCGACGGGCCTCCTGTCGGGTACCCGGTCTGGGCAGCCCATTCACCAGTGTTAGTGGTAACCGTCCAACTCATCCCTGACAGGTACTTAGGATTTGGGCCTTTCTGGGCTTATGGGCCTTCATCTTGAGAGGCTTTCTGATTCTCTATGGCCTACAGTCTTAATTACCTCGCTTTTGTTTCAAATATGCCTGCGGCGGCCCTTGTTACCGTAATTTGTGGCTACCCTATAAATAGTCTGGTAGCACACTTGAATCGTTCGATACTGAGAGCTTAATATTCTGGGAAAACGACTTCACCTTCATGTCTCTGATCTCATCTTGATTTCGTCATCATTTATGATCGTTTGCCTAAGGGAGGATCGACCTCGATTGCTGCCTAGGGAAGGCTCGATTGCCTTTGAATTCTCATACCTGACGAAGGCAAAGAGGCCGAAACGTAAGCCTGACAAAAATCACCGCTATCCCGGACAAACTGGCAAAATCTGCGTATCAGAATTCCATACTAAGGTTAGGAGAAGTGGGTTTGGAAATTAAGAAAAAAAAAAAAAAAAAAAAAAAAAAAAAAAAAAAAAAAAAAAAAAAAAAAAAAAAAAAAAAAAAAAAAAAAAAAAAAAAAAAAAAAAAAAAAAAAAAAAAAAAAAAAAAAAAAAAAAAAAAAAAAAAAAAAAAAAAAAAAAAAAAAAAAAAGAAAAAGGAGACTGCCCAATTCCCACTGTAGTCTCTCGATTGGTCTGCGCAACAACGGCCGATTATAAGAGAAGATTCTTCAGGTCGCTAGCATACTGAAATAGAGACGGTATAATGCTATTGCGTTTTGAAGTGTGATTTCAATTGTACTTGGCTGAACGTTTCGTTGGACTGATTCACGAGAAGGCAATTTTCCTGGGAATGGGGTGGGTTCTCGTAGTTGTGCTGGTGGAATCGATCCTTTGCGAGGTTACACATATTTTTACTCATACTTTTGAATCAAGAATTATCTCATAAAGGTTGCGGCCCATAGCAAAAATATGGAAATGGTGAATATTTCAAGACGTATACGCGAGCTCTACCCTCCCCGTCCCCCCCACTCACACGCAGGAGTCTGAAAATGTTAACATGGTATAGGCACGTGATTTCTTTTTGATGGATCTTCATTGTTTCCTCCCATTGGACATTCACAATGTATCTTGAAGCGTTGGGATCCTTAAACGCATTTTGCTTTGCACTACATTAATCAGGCTAATGATGTTGTGTTACAGGCGGAATTTGGGATTAGTAGGCAGCCCCTTCGAATTAAGGTAGAAGTGGTCAGAGATGTCGATAAAGCAGAACCGATCAATTGATGCACAGTTCTAGAATTAATCGCGCATGGAGGGTGTGAGTCTTACCAGGAAATGTTTTTGACTTCCCATGGAACTTTGAAAGGAGACCTATGAACATCGATAGAGTTTCGGACGCTGAGTACAAATATGGACATTAAAACTGCTACGTGAACTTTATAAGAAAGTTACGAGCATTCAAAGTTGGCAAAAAACGTTACTGAGGCGAGCTCACCTGATGAAATCACGGATGCTTTTTGTCTGGTTTCTTGTTCTATAAGGGTTAGTGGGTGCCCTGATTACGAATTTGATACTCGTTTTTAGCGCAGAGCCACGGCGAGCGTGATTCCATCAGGTAAGCCTACCTCAGTAACGTTTTTTGCCAACTTTGAATGCTCGTAACTTTCTTATAAAGTTCACGTAGCAGTTTTAATGTCCATATTTGTAATCAGCGTTCAAGACTCTATGGAGTCATCTAGGTCTCCTTCCAAAGTTCCATGGGAAGTTCAAAGCATTTCCTGGTTAGTGATTAATGTAGATCCGTTGAGTAGGTTAGAAATGGGGTTTAATCAATTGTAATTGATGACGCTATTTAATAGTTTAGTTGATCTAATAGTTGATGCACCTTCCGAATTCGCGCTAATAACTTAAGAATGGCCATCTGTAGTTGTTCACCTCATAACATCTCTTCTCTCTCAACTGGATCACAACCTTCAGCTTGGCTAGAAGCTTGTCATTAGCGAGTAGTTTTATCCCATGACACGAATGTTATACCTTTTTCTCTTCATGAGAGCGGAAGTGGTGTAGTGGCAAGTGGCACGCTTACCAAGCGCGTGTCGCCCGGGCCAACAAGCCTCCATACCTCCAATGTGTCGTAAATTGGTAAGATTGTCTGGGAGGTAGCACACTTAGGTTTGTGCTCGGCTGCCGCGCAAGTCAATGTACGGCCACATCGCATTCATGCCACTGCGAATGTACAAGTGGAAGTAGAATGCGTGCAGTATCCCAAAAATGGATTGATTGATAGGGAATGAATGAATCAACGGCAAATGCTTTATCCCCTTTTACCCTTCTCTTCATAGATGCAACTGCACGCGACCGTTGGCGGTAGTTTCAAAAACTTCTGAGCCATGTTGGAAAAGAAAAACAACTCCAACGAGCCTCAAAGGGAATCGAAACCGCGACCATTGGCTCCGCAAACGCGACTGCTACCAATTTCGTTAGTAGCATACCCTCTGAAAGTTCTCCGCGCGTTTAATGGCGCCTACATGTAAATACGGACAATGCAATAAACAGTAATGGTATCGAAGAGACTCCTTCATAACTCTTTCCAAAAAATTTCAGTTTAGCAATGAACGAAGTCAGATTCGAGGTTAAGGGGGCGTCTTTGCGTGGGGTAACGAATGGGATTCGTTTCATTTGGCAGGTTAGAGGCCACCTGATTTTCTTTTGGCTGGAGCAGCGCGATCGACAAAACTCGCACTCCACAGTCTTTGAAAAGTCATAATTTGGATTGCTAAAGAACGGCTTGTAGAAAAAAGCTTCGAGACCGTGGATCAAACTCTGTAAATATTTTTCGGAATTCTCAGCGCTCAGAAAAGATTTGACTATTCTCCAGCCAAAAATATGAATGCTAAAAACATCAGAACTCAAGAAGCTGGCTTGTGAGTTTGAGGTCTGCTTATGCAAGTTGGATGTGATCAATATTTTTAAGATTTTGAAATCAGGTTTCTGTGAGGAAAGAAACATGAATCATTTGATACTGAACAACCTTTCCTGAAATGGTATGGTACATTATATGTCTATCCATTCAAATCGTATGGGTATTCTATAAGAGGTTTTTTCGATGTACATCGCGTAGGCGAATCATCAATCGGAAGGTGAAAGTTTCTATCTACATGAATACTTGAGGCGTGGCATAGCAGTGGCGAAGTCATTCGAGGGCTACGTCTCCGGTGCGAACAGAATCAGCGATCGGATCGTGGCCGTGCGGATAGACCGAAGGAGAGGTACTGGACACTACTGTCTGTGTATGCACCGCAATCCGGTTACCCCAGTGAGAAGGACGAGTTTCTTTGAGTCTTGACGCTGCATTAGATTTTCGATTCCGGAAGGTGATTACTTTAGCATAGCAAG